TTAGTTCCTTTTTCTTGCCTAAAAGGTGTTAATTACTTTTATTGTTGTGTCCTGATTGCTGCTAGCTGGTTCCTCATTGTGTGTGTCAAGTGTTTGCTGTTTTAGCCTCAGGCTGCTGTTGACCCAGTTTAGTTGGGGTGGTCCTAGATTATTTCTTAGTTGGGCTGGGGAGGGGGTGTCCAACTCTCATCAATTCCCCCATTTTGGGCTATTACTGATGTATCAGTGATTAGCCCAACTGGTTCATATATACGGTAGTGGTGATCAATTTGGCACATCATGAGAGATGTTTTCTTACTCTGTCCCTTGCTTCTGATGGGAGTTGTGCAGACCTTTAGGCATTTTAACCCTAAAGGTGCTAATTGGCATAGGCAACAAAGGAGGGCTCCACCTATTGCGACTGTGATTATACTAACAATGAGAATTTTCAACCAATGGAAGTCTGGTAACCATGAAAAGAGCCAGGAAAGGTTCCAGGATGACTGGTTGTGCCCAATGTTTTGTGCTAGTTGTTAGAAGTAAAGTCTTCATCCTGGTTCATCCAAGCCGGGAATAAATAAGCAAACATGGCGACTGCTTTGGGAAGAAGGTTACAGTTTATTGCAGAAAGATGGTTCTTCAGGAAAGTGCAGAGGAGAGAGAAGGGCTGAGCACATGGGGCAGTAGGCTTTTATACCCCCTCTAGCCTTGTTTGGAATAGTTTCCTGTTCCTGTGGCATGAACCTTGAGGCTGTTTCTGAGTTTGTCTAGGCCTTGATATCTGTGGTTTAATTCTATTATCATATCCTGCTTCCCAGGTGATGGGGCTAATGACTCCTAGAGTTTGGGTGGGGTATGCAGATCTTCTCTTTTGTCTTGTTGATTGCTCTGGCTTCAACTTTCTGATGGTTTTACATCTGCATTTGTACAGGGCTAAAGTCTTGCTTGGGGCAGAGAGATAGATTTGGGGCCAGGTTTGGTTTTAAAAAGTCCTTTTGAGGAAAAATATATTTTTCTGCCCTTTTTAATATTTCTTTCTCTGGGCTAACTTCCCTCAATCCCCGCTTTGTGCCTTAAGTGTGTAAATTTATGACACACTTATTGGCACAACATTAAAATTGATCTGGTCAGGGAGACTTGGTAGGCAAGCTTTTAAACGGTTAAGCAAAATAATAATAATAATAAGACATTAATAGAGGCAGCAGAAAAAGATCCCTTTAGTGGCTCCCAAAAGGGGAGCTTGCACCCATAAAGTTCTAAAAGTCAGGGCAAAATTTTGTTAAGTGGAAAAGAGATTTATAGTGTCCAATATTCTGTGCCAATCATTTTCAAATGTTGGATATCACCTTTAGCTTCCAGTCAGGTTTGCATACCTCCCAAAATTCTTCACAGCCATGGTTTTCCTTAGTACATGACCACTGGCTGCCCAATTTCAAGGGTTGTTTCCTGCCTTAGCTCTTAATTCAGTGCATCCAGGTTTGTAATGTCCAATATGCCAGGCTATTAAATTTTTCTTTAAATTGCACATACTGAGCTCTAGGAATCCCAATCTGAGCTCAACAGTGCAAAATATTCAGGGCATAAGTTTGGGATTTTTCCTATTGCTTCCTTAGTCATGGCATATGAATTGCAAATCACCTGAGGGGGCCAAGTTCCCTCCCCTTTGGAATCTGTTGGAAGTTGGTCCCAGAAAGCTTTGGTGCAATAGAGCAAAAATCAGCCTGGGGAACTTTACTAAAGGTAGGTGGAGGGGATAGACTCTGAATGGTGTGAATGGTGTATGTGTGCATATGCAGCTATTTCTACAAAACAGGCAATACAAACATTCTGGAAAAGTTTTCCCTCCCACCAGATAGAAGTCCAAGGTGTTCAGTACTTGTTCTACCACTTATTCCCAAGTGCCATCTCTCCACTAATACATTCAGCTTGCTTGTTACGATACAAATGGGGCAAGAAATAAAAGTTTACAATGAGTTTCCACCCTCCCCCCATAGTCTAATTTTCTCTTCTGAGGCTTCACATGGCATCAGTGGCTCCAAGACTCCTTCCTTCTGCAGCTCTCACAGGCATCTGGGTAAATGGTAGGACTTTGGAAGATTTTCCACTCAACTTGCATGGTGGCTTTTTTAGTGGATGGCTGGATTCAAAACCCAATTCCATGGCTCAAATGGATGGAGGCAGCATCTGGGTCTGTGTGTTCTGCTTCCAAAGGCTTGGGAGAGGGTTTCAGGGCTGAAAGATACAAGAACAAGGTCTCCCCCCCGCCGCTTTCTGGGTGGACTCTACCAGGAGAGGCAGACAAAAGGTATGGAGAACAAAGGGCAGGAAAAGAATTGGAAGGGGGGTAGCTTGCAGGCAGTTTGAAAATGCTGAAAACTCCAAATAATTTTAAAAGCCTAATATTTTAAGGTGTGCAACTTTCCAGAGGTAGGAGAACATTTATTCTAAAATAGACCACATTATTTTAGAGATTAGAAAATGCTTATTTGTTTCAGAAAAGTTTCATAGTAGTTTCACCAGTAAGTGATAGGATACGAAAAGTAACTTAAGGAAGACTTGAGCTTCAAGAGGCTCTTGTAGATAGACACACATTTTTCAGGAAAAAGATAGATAAAACACATACAGTAAATGCAAGTGAAACTTTTCCAACAGATAAATTTAAAACAATCCCTCCTGGTAACTTAAGGCTATTCTTGAGCGTACACAGAGAGAAAGAGGAAAACAAACAAACAAACACATTTTTTTCTTCACTCTGTTTGTTGGCCAGACAAACAGAGTGAGGTATTTCCTTTTTGTGGCTTATTTTTAAGCATAATTTCTAGCAGAATTTAAAATTCTTTTTTCTTTGGATTTGAAACAGTTAACAGTCACATTTACCTCTCACACAGACTTTGACAAACATATATACACAAAGACAAGTGAACAGAAGTCTTAGTTTTACACATCCTAGTCATTCCCACCATTTCAGACAACTCAAGTTAGGGAAGGCACACATTTTAAACATACCACATGGTTGCATAGAGGAGAGAGAGAGAGAGAGAATCACTATTTCTTATTTTCCCTTTTAAGTACCTTTATTTAGCCAAATTGGTTTCCCAGCAAAGCCTATACACTACACAGTCGAAATCTCCTTGTGAGACTTCTTTCCTAACACAGTCGAAGTTTCCTTGTGAGACTTCTTTCCAAACAGTTGAAGTCTTCTTATGAGACTTCTTTCCTAACAGTCGAAGTCTTCTTATGAGACTTCTTTCCAAACTTTGCTTTGCTTACAGGGCCTTACCAGCTAGTTGCCCAAATCCAATTCTTTCATTCACTCATTCCATTTCATTTTCACACAGTCTCTCCCTTTTCCCTAACAAAAGGTTCTGTGCTCTGGCCAACCCCCATGCTTTCCAGGTTCTGCCAATTAAACAGATCCTTTCTGCGGCTAGGAAAGACCAGAAGGAGCAAAATCCAACTGTGATTGGGAAAAAAAAGGTCTTCTCACTCACACAAACAGAAATACACACATTTCTTTGTTCCCCTGGGCTTTAAACTTAAAATTTAGAGGTACTCACCTTCACCTTCTTTCCAAAGCAGCCCTTGAGCTCAAACTCTCAAAACTCCCTTTGCTACCCTAGCTCCACATGGGCAAGGCCTGGGAAACCCATCCACAGACACAAGGGGGTCTGCTGCCGGCAAGATGGGGCTTACCAGTCTCAGTCCATTGGAGAGGTTAGCTTGGAGTCCCATCTGGGTCGCCAAATTGTTAGAAGTAAAGTCTTCATCCTAGTTCATCCAAGCCGGGAATAAATAAGCAAACATGGCGACTGCTTTGGGAAGAAGGTTACAGTTTATTGCAGAAAGATGGTCTTCAGGAAAGTGCAGAGGAGAGAAGAAGAGAGCAAAGGGCACAGAGAGAGAGATTGAGCACATGGGCAGTAGGTTTTATACCCCCCCTAGCCTTTTGTTTGGAATAGTTTCCTGTTCCTGTGGCATGAACCTTGAGACTGTTTCTGAGTGTTTGTCTAGGCCTTGATATCTGTGGTTTAATTCTGTTATCATATCCTGCTCCCCAGGTGATGGGGCTGACTCCTAGAGTTTGGGTGGGGTATGCAGATCTTCTCTTTTGTCTTCTTGATTGCTCTAGCTCCAACTTTCTGATGGTTTTACATTTGCATTTGTATAGGGCTAAAGTTTTGCTTGGGGCAGAGAGATAGATTTGGGGCCAAGTTTGGTTTTAAAAAGTCCTTTTGAGGAAAAATATATTTTTCTGCCCTTTTTAATATTTCCTTCTGGGCTAACTTTCATCACTGCTCATCTAGCCATCCAAAGTAAGTCTGGGTGATTTGCAGCTTCCTGCTTAGTCAAGGTCTGTAAACTGGACTAGAAACTTGAAAAACCCAACTGAAGAAGGCAGAATGTCCATGCTGTCGCCGGAAAATGAACTCAGCTTGGAGAATTTAATTTCATTTTAAGTGAAATATGGGACGGAAGTCAGAAAACTCAACGGGGTGGTTGGGATTAAAAGGCCCCACTCCCTTCGTGGCCGCCATTTTGACTTTTTTGACCTTTTTGACTCCGTGTCGAGCAGGAAACCACTTGCCTGCTACCGCCGTGTCTAAGTCCTTTGGTTGCGCCTTCTGGCTTAGGTGTGTTTTTCCTTTGCAATCAGGCTCAATCCGGGTCTGCAAACTGGACTAGAACCTTGAAGAAGCCATTTGAGGAATGCAGTGTGTCCGTGAGGTCCCCAGGAATCGAGCTCGGCTGGGAGGGTTTGATTTTTAAGTGAAATAGGGCGAGGAAGGTCAGAAAAGTCAAAGATGGCGATTGGGATGGAACAAAGACCCTCCCTTTGTGGTAGCCATTTTGACTGTTTTGACTCTTTTGGACTCCCTGGCCATTGCTGCCATGTGGAAGCCCCTCGTTGCTTCTTCTGGCTGATGAATGATGGATATTTAGACGTGTTTTTCCTTTGCAACCAGGCTCAATCCCGCTTCTCTTCTTTTTCCCTCCACCCTCTCTTGGCGCATCAAACCCAGGCAGATCCCAAATGCCACACCTCACCTGGGCAGGTAAGTGTGACCCACTGCAGGATGACTGGACTTCCCTTCTTTGTTACTCACTTTTTGTGTTCTTAATTTTTTCCCCCGCTTTGTCCTCCTGATTCTTTGAGGCTTTCTTCTAATGTGGGTTTATTTTCCTAGACAGGAGTTCTCAAACTCGGCCATTTTAAGACTTGTGGACTTCAACTCCCAGAATTCCCCAGCCAGCATGGCTGGCTGGGGAATTCTGGGAGTTGGAGTCCACAAGTCTTAAAGTGGCAGCGTTTGAGGACCCCTGTCCTAGGATCATAAGATTCTAGATTCCTGGAGGTCTTTCTCCAGCAGTGTGGACTTCAACTCCCAGAATTCCCAGCCAGCAAGGGACACACCCACTGCTGAGAATTCTGGGAGCTGGAGGCCACACACTTGGATTGGGAAATGTTATAATCTAGATCAGGGGTAGTCAACCTTGGCTCTTTTATGACTCGTGGACTTCAACTCCCAGAATTCCTGAGCCAGCCTGGCTCAGCATGGAAACCTCTCCCTTTCTCCTCAGCATGGCTGGCTCAGGAATTCTGGGAATTGAAGTCCATGAGTCATAAAAGAGCCAAGGTTGATTACCCCTGATCTAGAGATTCTCAGCCTCGGACACTTTAAGTTGTGTGGACTTCAACTCCCAGAAGCTGGCTGGGGAATTCTGGGAGTTGAAGTCCACACACCAGAAAATGGCCAAGGTTGAGAAACACTTGTTTTAATCCAGGGGACTTCAAACTTGGCCCTTTTATGACTTGTGGACTTCAACTCCCAGAATTCCTCAGCCAGCATGCCTGGCTGAGGAATTCTGGGAGTTGAAGTCCACAAGTCATAAAAGGGCCAAGATGGAAGACCCGTGTTTTAATCCAATTCTGTAAAGAAAGGGTGGGTGGGTGGGCGGGCAGGTAGGTAGATAGATAGATAGATAGATAGATAGATAGATAGATAGATAGATAGATAGATAGATAGATAGATAGATAGATAGATGGAAAAATAAATGGGTGGATGGATAGCTGGCTAGATAGATAGATAGATGGATGGATGGATGGATGGATGGATGGATCTAGATGGATCCATCTAGAAAACAAGAAATAAAAAAACAGACAGACAGACAGATAGATAGATAGATAGGTGGATCTAGATGGATGCATAGATGGAAAAATAAATGGGTGGATGGATAGCTAGCTGGCTAGATAGATAGATAGAGAGATAGACGGATGGATGGATGGTTGAATAGATCTATGGATAGACATGTGAATGGATAAATCCCACTAATCCAGCTTTTTGTCCAATATACCCAACAGTTCTCACTTTTTTCTGGAGATCGAAGCCTTTGAAAGCAACACATCCCCAAGCCGGACGTCTCCCCCCATCTTCTCAAAGCCCATGGACTCCAACATCCGCCCCTGGTGGGTACCGGTTGATTTATCTCTTTATTGGATTGATAAGCCCTTCCCCCTCCCCCTTCCCATATCCCAGAGGCAACATGGGATGTTCTCCTGATCTGGGGGGAGGTGGGGGGGGGGAATGGAAGAGGCTGGGGTGGTGTCAAAAAAAATGATGTAGCCACAATCATGGGATGAAAGCCTTTTTTATTTACATTTGTCCCCTCTTAAATTTTTGACCCCCCCAAGACACCCTCACTGTCTGTCTTTCTTTCTTTCTTTCTTTCTTTCTTTCTTTCTTTCTTTCTTTCTTTCTTTCTTTCTTTCTTTCTTTCTTTCTTTCTTTCTTTCTTTCCCTTCCTTCCTTCCTTCCTTCCTTCCTTCCTTCCTTTCCTCCCTCCCTGCCTCTCTGTAAACTCCACTCTCTTCTATCACTGATGATGTTGCCTAGTTGGGTCATGAAACTCTGCAAAGGAAACCAGCATGCTCAGAGAGCACCAAAGATCCCACAATCCTTCCTTCCTTCCCTCTTTCTTTCTTTTTCTTTTCTTTCCTTCCTTTTTTTCCTTCCTTCTTTCTTTTTCTTCCTTCCTTCCTTCCTCTCTCTCTCTCTCTCTTTTTCTTTCTTTCTTTCCTTTCTTTCTTTTTCTTCCTTCCTTCCCTCTTTCTTTTTCTTTTTATTCCTCCTTCCTTTCTTTCTTCCTTCCTTCCTTCCTTCCTTCAACAAATTTATAATATTCTGCATGAATGAACTGCGGGGAGCCATACAATCGTGATGGTGCCCCAAATTTTCATTGCTAAGCCAGACAGTTGTTAAGTGGGTTCTGCCCCATTTTTCCACCTCTCTTGCCACAGTTGTTAAGTGAATCACTGCACGTCAGGGTTGTTAAGTGAATCTGGCCTCCCGGTTGACTTTGCTTGTCAGACAGTTGCAAACGGGGAATCCCACGACCCCGGGACACTGTGACGGTCGTAAGTAGGAACAGTTGCCAAGCGTCTGAATTTTGATCAGCTGACTGTGGGGATGCTGCAACGGTCATAAAGGTGAAAAACGGTCACAAGTCACTGTTTTCAAAGCTGTGATAACTCTGAATGGTTACTAAACAAATAGTTGTAAGTCAAGGACTACTTGAATATACCTTATCTGTCTCTCACATTGGGGACCCAAATATGTCCAGGATGCATCTTTTATCATAGACATATGCAAAAAGTTTCTTCCTGTTCCTCAAACTTTGAAATCTCGAAGGATTTTCTCAGGAATTTTGAATCATTAAAGTCTAGCATTGGAAGGGTCCCTCAAGGTCATCTAGTTCAACCCCCTGCTCTGTACAGGAATCCAAGGGAAGGTATTCTGGACAGAGAAAGTTGTCCAACTTCCTGACAGACTTCTTGAAATTTTCTGATAGTTAGAACAATTAATCAGCAGAACTCCTTGCCTCCAGAAGTTGTGGGTGCTCCAACACTGGAAGTTTTTAAGAAGAGACTGGACAGCCATTTATCTGAAATAGAATAGGGTTTCCCCCCTGAACAGGGGGTTGGACTAGATGACCTCCAAGGACCCTTCCAGCTTCTATTCTATTCTATTCTATTCTATTCTATTCTATTCTATTCTATTCTTATTCCATACTAGCTGTACCCAGCCATGCGTTGCTGTGGCTCAGTGTGGTTAAATGGAAAAGAAAGAAAAGAGAAAGCGCACGTTTGTAATATGTTTAATTTCACAATGGTTGTGGGTATACAATATTTTTTGTTGTTCCATTGTGTGTGCAGATATAGAGATTATGTCCAACAGATGGCGCTGTTTTTCACAAAAAGCATGTTTTAATCAGTCACAGGTGTGACATCTATATAATATCGGTATATAAAAACATGCGCGTATTCGAATGCAATGTTGTTTCAAAATTTCAAAGCAATCGGTGAAGAACTTTTGGAGATTTAAGATTTTGAATAAACAAACATTTACATTTTTATTTATATAGATTCTATTTTTATTCCATATTCTATTCTATTCTATTCTTATTCCATATTCTATTCTATTCTATTCTATTCTTATTCCATATTCTATTCTATTCTATTCTATTCTATTCTATTCTATTCTATTCTATTCTTATTCCATATCCTATCCTATCCTATTCTATCCTATCCTATTCTATTCTATTCTTATTCCATATTCTATTCTATTCTATTCTTATTCCATATTCTATTCTATTCTATTCTATTCTTATTCCATATCCTATCCTATCCTATCCTATCCTATCCTATCCTATCCTATCCTATTCTATTCTATTCTATTCTATTCTATTCTATTCTTATTCCATATCCTATCCTATCCTATCCTATCCTATCCTATCCTATCCTATCCTATCCTATCTTATTCTATTCTATTCTATTCTTATTCCATATTCTATTCTATTCTATTCTATTCTATTCTATTCTATTCTATTCTATTCTATTCTATTCTATTCTATTCTATTCTATTCTATTCTATTCTATTCTTATTCCATATCCTATTCTATCCTATCCTATCCTATCTTATCCTATTTTATTCTATTCTATTCTTATTCCATATTCTATTCTATATTTTATTGTGTTCTATTTTCTATTTTACGACCTTCTAACAAGCAAAGTCAATGGGGAAGCCAGGTCCACTTAAGAAACGTGTTAATAATTTAACACCTGCAGTGATTCACTTAGCAACTGTGGAAAGAAAGGTCGTAGGTTGCAAAAGGGGATTATGTGACCCCGGGACACTGCAACCGTCATAAATAGAGGACAGTTGCCAAAGCCCTCTTCCTCAAGCATTGCAAATTGCTGGAAACTTAGGTCTTAATTTGGGGGGGAGGGTCCCAAGGAGGAGGAATTCAGAAAAGGATTTTACCGGCAGATTCGCGTCTTCTTCTTCCAGCGATGCACTGATGGAAGAAATACATGTAGTCCTCGACTTATAACAGTTCATTTAACGACCATTCAAAGTTACAACAGCACCGAAAAAGGGACGACCTTTTTTCACGCTTATGACCGTGACAGCGTCCCTATGGTCACGTGATCAAAATTCAGATGCTTGGCAATGGACTCGTATTTATGACGGTCGCAGCCTCCCGGCGGGGTCACATGATCCTCTTTTACGACCTTCTGACAAGCAAAGCCAAGGGGGAAGCCAGATTCACTTAACGACCGTGTGACTAAGTTAACAACCGCAAAGATTCTCTTAACCACCACAAAGGTTCGCGGTGGCAAGGAAGATTGTAAGCTGGGGCAAAATTCACTTAACCAATGTTTCACTTAGCGACCAAAAATTGGGGGCTCAGTTGTGGCCGTAAGCCAAGGACTACCTGTACCCCGATTAGTAGACGTTCTCCTGACCTTTATATTTCTTTTTCACTTCTTCTTCCATTTCTTCTTCACTTCTTTTTCACGCAGTGCCTCCGCCAACTGTGAGGATATGGATTCCCCCCAATCAATCCAGGATGACATAACAGAATATACCCCAAATGCTGAGAGTTGTTGGTAAGGCAAGTCTGGGGGGGAGACGGAAGTGTCTGTGAGGGGGGGCCCTATAGATCTGTGTTTCTCAACCTTGGCGACTTGAAGTTGGGTGGGCTTCCACTCCCAGAATCCCCCAGCCAGCCTGCTTTAAGAGGGGTGGACTTCCACTCCCAGAATCCCCCAGCCAGCCTGCTTTAAGAGGGGTGGGCTTCCACTCCCAGAATCCCCCAGCCAGCCTGCTTTAAGAGGGGTGGACTTCCACTCCCAGAATCCCCCAGCCAGCCTGCTTTAAGAGGGGTGGGCTTCCACTCCCAGAATCCCCCAGCCAGCCTGCTTTAAGAGGGGTGGACTTCAGCTCCCAGAATCCCCCAGCCAGCCGGCTTTAAGAGGGGTGGACTTCAGCTCCCAGAATCCCCCAGCCAGCCTGCTTTAAGAGGGGTGGGCTTCAGCTCCCAGAATCCCCCAGCCAGCAGGCTTTAAGAGGGGTGGGCTTCCACTCCCAGAATCCCCCAGCCAGCAGGCTTTAAGAGGGGTGGGCTTCCACTCCCAGAATCCCCCAGCCAGCCTGCTTTAAGAGGGGTGGGCTTCCACTCCCAGAATCCCCCAGCCAGCCTGCTTTAAGAGGGGTGGACTTCCATTCCCAGAATCCACCAGCCAGCAGGCTTTAAGAGGGGTGGACTTCCACTCCCAGAATCCCCCAGCCAGCCATGCTTTAAGAGGGGTGGACTTCCATTCCCAGAATTCCCCAGCCAGCAGGCTTGAAGAGGGGTGGAATTCAGCTCCCAATCTTGTGGAAAATGAAAGGACTCTTACGAATTCCAGAGGGTTTTAGCAGAGAGATTTATTGCGCAGGTTCAGAAGCAATAGCAACAGCAATTCTGAACCCCGAGGGGGGGGTTCAGACTTCAGTTTTATACTTTCTTTTTCTCAGGAACAAAGGAATACACATTGTAATACATTAGGTTTGTTTCTCACAGTATACAATGGAGAGTTTGCTATATACATTGTATCCAAGTGCAATGCGCATTAGGTTAGTCACCTACTACTAACACAGCACTATTCCAGTAATTATGCAGACACATCATTATTCTAGTGATTGTTCATTATTCCACATTACCAAAATTCCCCAGCCAGCCTGCTTTAAGAGGGGTGGACTTCCATTCCCAGAATTCCCTAGCCAGCATGCTTTAAGAGGGATGGGCTTCCACTCCCAGAATTTCCCAGCCAGCCATGCTTTAAGAGGGGTGGGTTTCCACTCCCAGAATTCCCCAGCCAGCCTGCTTTAAGAGGGGTGGGCTTCCACTCCCAGAATCCCCCAGCCAGCCTGCTTTAAGAGGGGTGGACCTCAGCTCCCAGAATCCCCCAGGCAGTATGTTTCAGTCCACTCCTGTTTAAGTTGTCACAGTTGAGAAACGCCGCTATAGATTAATTACTAGGCTAGATTAGAGGTATTGATTATGTCTTCTTCTGACGTGGGCTGACCTCAAGGTTTCCTAAAATTGATTGGAAAGCATTTTGACAAAGCCTGGCTCCAATTATTTGTGTATTTGTGTGTGTGTGTGTGTCATGTTTGTATGTCTGTGTCTCTATCTGTTTGTGTGTGTGTTTTAATGAACACCCCCCCACAAACCTCATAGTATTCGTACAGGCCCTTCCAAGCCATATTACTCTTGGTTGCACAACAGCCTGCCTAGGTAGGCCAGTTTCATGAGCTCCTTGTGTCAAAAACTATCCCTCTTCCCAAGATGGCTTGTTCTTTCCTTAGTCTGTACCCCAAAAATGACCCATATGTTTTCCCTTTTCCACAGCACCAACTCAACCCAAAACGCTCAGCCGAACAGTCGCCGCAAGAAGCTGAAAAAATACCTCTTCCATGCAGTTTCGGAAGGAAATCTGGAGGACCTGCAGAGTGTCCTGGCAGAATTGAAGGATCGGTCCCAGAGGTGCCAAAATCTGACTGTCCAAGGTTGGTGGCCTTGCTCTACCTCTGCAAGGAGGAAAAGGTGAATCCGGTGGGTGGAATAGGTTTAGGGGTGCCAAGAATGAAGGGGGCACCCTCTTTTTAGGGGCCAAGAGGGCGGCCCTTGGGGGCATACTTTGGAGCGTGTCAAAAATGTCCAGAGAACCATGGAAGGCCTATCCCAGTGGTTCTCAACCTTTTTAATGCCGCGACCCCCAACCGGTCATAAGTCGAGGACTACTCAACCAGTCATAAGTCAAGGACTACTCAACTGGTGCAGCACCGTTTGCAGAATGGGACTTTTGGTGGGCTCAGCAGGGCAGAGACAGCCTGGACAATTCCGATTGGCTTTTGAAAGCCAATAGAATAAAAGGGAGTAGCACAGCTAAGGAAAAGGGGGAAAAAATGGCGGACTGTGTTGTTTGGCGACCCCCGTGAAATGGTCGTTTGACCCCAAATGGGGTCCCGACCCACAGGTTGAGAACCACTGGCCTATCCCATTTCCTGCAAGTTTGATAGAGGATAGGATAGGATAGGATAATGAAAGAACGGAATGGAATGGAAAGAAACAGAATTGGATAGAATAGTGAAAGAATAGAACAGAACAGGATAGGACAGGATGGGATGGGATGGGATGGGATGGGATGGAAGGGAATGGAACGGAATAGAATATGGAATAGAATAGAATTTGAAATAGAATATAATAAGTAGAGTAGAATAGAATAGGATAGGATAGTACTACTACTACTACTAGTAGTAGTAGTAATAATAATAATAATAATAATAAAGTTGGAGGTCATCTAGTTAATTAATTGTTCTAACTGTCAGGAAGGAATGGAATGGAATAGAATAGAATAGAATAGAATAGAATAGAATGGAATGGAATGGAATGGAATGGAATGGAATGGAATGGAATGGAATGGAATATGGAATAGAATAGAATTTGAAATAGACTAGAATTTGAAATAAGATAGAATAGAGTAGAGCAGAATAGAATAGGATAGGATAGTAATAATAATAAAGTTGGAGGTCATCTAGTTAATTGTTCTAACTGTTAGGAAGGAATAGAATGGAATAGAATAGAATAGAATAGAATAGAATAGAATAGAATAGAATAGAATAGAATAGAATAGAAAATATGGAATGGAATGGAATGGAATAGAATAGAATAGTTGGAAGGGACCTTGGAGGTCATCTAGTCCAACCCCCTGTTCAGGCAGGAAACCCTATCCCATTTCAGACAAATGGCTGTCCAGTCTCTTCTTAAAAAGTTCCAGTGTTGGAGCATTCACCGCTTCTGGAGGCAGGTGGTTCCACTGGTTAATTGTTCTAGTGATTAAGGCACCAGGCTAGAAATCAGGAGTCGGGGAATTCTAGTCCTGCCTTAGGTATGAAGGCTGGGTGGGTGATTATGGGCCAATCACCAGGAGACGGTGAGTTCTAGTCCTGCCTTAGGTACTAAAGTTGGCTGGGTGACTCTGGGTCAATCACTAGAGGACTGTGAGTTCGAGTGCTGCCTTAGGCAGGAAAACTCGCTGGGTGACTTTGAGCTAGTCCTTCTCTCTCTCAGCCCAATCCACCTCACAGGGTTGTTTTTGTGGAGAAAACAGGAAGAGGAAGATGTGTTGGGTATGTTTGTCGCTTTGACATTTGTAAAATATAATAAAGGCAGGATATAAAAACAAATTAAGTAAAGACGATGTTATCTGATTGAGGAAGTGGCGGGACATAGTTCTTCTGGGAGGGGAATCTAGTAGTTTTTAAAAATAACTTTGAAAGTAAGAAATGGTTTCTGATGATCTTATGATGCGGTGAATGGTCATATTCTAGAAGAAAAAAAGGAGTGTTCCAGAATTCCTCAGAATATACTTGAGCTCCCTGTAATGTTCTGGTCTTCTCCAGAATGTTCTGGTTTTTGCCCTAGAAACTTCTGACTTTCTCCAGAATGTTCTGACTTTCTTCAGAATTATTCAGGTTTCTCCAGGAAGTTTTGGTTTCCCCCAGAATGGTCTGGTTTCCTCTGGAAAGTTCTGCTATTCTCCAGAATGTTCTTGTCTTCTTCTTCTTCTAGAAACTTCTGACTTTCTCCAGAATCATTCAGGTTTTCTTCAGGAAGTTTTGGTTTCCCCCAGAATGGTCTGGTTTCCTCTGGAAAGTTCTGCTATTCTCCAGAATGTTCTTGTCTTCTTCTTCTTCTAGAAACTTCTGACTTTCTTCAGAATTATTCAGGTTTCTCCAGGAAGTTTTGGTTTCCCCCAGAATGGTCTGGTTTCCTCTGGAAAGTTCTGCTATTCTCCAGAATGTTCTTGTCTTCTTCTTCTTCTAGAAACTTCTGACTTTCTCCAGAATCATTCAGGTTTTCTTCAGGAAGTTTTGGTTTCCCCCAGAATGGTCTGGTTTCCTCTGGAAAGTTCTGGTATTCTCCAGAATGTTCTGTTTTTTTCTTCTTCTAGAAACGTCTGACTTTCTTCAGAATTATTCAGGTTTTCTTCAGGAAGTTTTGGTTTCCCCCAGAATGGTCTGGTTTCCTCTGGAAAGTTCTGGTATTCTCCAGAATGTTCTGTTTTTTCTTCTTCTTCTAGAAACTTCTGACTTTCTCCAGAATTATTCAGGTTTTCTTCAGGAAGTTTTGGTTTTCCCCAGAATGGTCTGGTTTCCTCTGGAAAGTTCTGGTATTCTCCAGAATGTTCTGTTTTTTTCTTCTTCTAGAAACTTCTGACTTTCTTCAGAATTATTCAGGTTTCTCCAGGAAGTTTTGGTTTCCCCCAGAATGGTCTGGTTTCCTCTGGAAAGTTCTGGTATTCTCCAGAATGTTCTGTTTTTTTCTTCTTCTAGAAACTTCTGACTTTCTCCAGAATTATTCAGGTTTTCTTCAGGAAATTTTGGTTTTCCCCAGAATGGTCTGGTTTCTTCTGGAAAGTTCTGGTATTCTCCAGAATGTTCTGTTTTTTCTTCTTCTAGAAAGTTCTGGCTTTCTTCAGAATTATTCAGGTTTTCTTCAGGAAGTTTTGGTTTCCCCCAGAATGGTCTGGTTTCCTCTGGAAAGTTCTGGTATTCTCCAGAATGTTCTATCTTCTCTTCTCTTCTCTTCTCTTCTCTTCTCTTCTCTTCTCTTCCCTTCCCTTCCCTTCCCTTCCCTTCCCTTCCCCCCCCTCTCTTAAAAGTTCTGGTTTTGTCCAGAATGTTCCACCTTTTTCTAGGTGCTTCCGGACTTCCGGAATGGCAAGCTTTGCCCATTCGTAATAAGAAACATTAACTTTTTGCACCCCGCCCTATGAACAATTGTTTGGACCTTCAATCACCGCAGGACTGGATCCCTGCAATTGCTGTATTAATATTTTTTTTTGAAACAAGCTTTTAGTGCAATTATGCCTTCTCATTTGCCTCCCAACAAAGGAATCCGTAACTTCCTTCTGTTTGATGGTGGTAGCGTTCCCAATCAGCCTCAATTAAAATGGCAGGACATCAGGGATAATTCACCCTTCTTTTCCAGAATATCTGATGAATAAGATGACCTCCTCAGACACCGGGAAAACCTGCCTAATGAAAGCTTTGTTGAACATCAACCAGCACACCAAGGAAGTTGTGAACATGCTGCTCTCGTTTGCAGAAGAGAACCAAATCCTAGAAAAGCTTATTAATGCAGCCTACACAGAGGAAGCCTATAGAGGTATGGGCGCCGGCTCCGGGTTTTAAAAATTTTGCAAAAAGTGTCACAGAAATTGCTTCGTCGGTGCACCCTGGGAAAGGCCCCGAAAGATTTATTTCGGCCGGCAAGCGGAGAAAATATATATTGTAGGCCGCAATTTCCACAACAGCCTCAATCTAGTCCAGTGGCTCTCAACCTTTTTAATGCCGCGACCCCCAACCGGTCGTAAGTCGAGGACTACTCAACCGGTCGTAAGTCGAGAACTACTCAACCGGTGCAGCACCGTTTGCAGAATGGGACTTTTGGCGGGCTCAGCAGGGCAGAGACAGCCTGGACAATTCCTATTGGCTTTTGAAAGCCAATAGAATTAGGCTCTATTCAAGAGAGTCTACTCTATTCAAGAGAGTCTATTCTATTGGCTTTCAAAAGCCAATAGAATAAAAGGGAGTAGCACAGCTAAGGAAAAGTGGGGGAAAAATGGCGGACTGCGTTGTTTGGTGACCCCCGTGAAATGTCGTTCGACCCCAAATGGGGTCCCGACCCACAGGTTGAGAACCACTGCTCTAGTCAGACGATTCGCCCTGAAGATCAATTGAATAATGTATTTTTCACTGTACAGGTAGTTCCTCGACTTAACAACAATTCATTTAGTGACCGTTCAAAGGTACAACATCCCTCCAAGAAAAGACTTAGAGCTGTATTTCGCGCTTATGACTGTTGCAGTGTCCCCATGGTCACGTGATCAAAATTCAGACAGTTGGAAACTGACTTGTACTTATGACAGTTGCAGTGTCCCCATGGTCATGTGATCAAAATTCAGACAGTTGGAAACTGACTCATACTTATGACCATTGCAGCGTACCCATGGTCACGTGATCAAAATTCAGACAGTTGGAAACTGACTGGTACTTATGACCGTTGCAGTGTCCCCATGGTCACATGATCAAAATTGGAAACTGACTCGTACTTATGACAGTTGCAGTGTCCCCATGGTCACGTGATCAAAATTCAGACAGTTGGAAACTGACTCGTACTTATGACCGTTGCAGTGTCCTGGGGACACGTGATTCCCTTTTGGGACCACCTGACAAGCAAAATCAATGGGGAAGCCAGATTCACTTAACAATATAGCAACTGCAGTGATTCACTTAACCACTGTGGTAAGCAAGGTTGTAAAATGGGGCAAAATTTCTCTTAACAACTGTCTTGTTTAGCAACCAAAATTTTGGGCTCCATTATGGCGATAAGTCGAGCGCTACCTGCAGATTAAATCATAGACTAGGGGTAGGCAACCTTGGCTCTTTTATGACTCGTGGACTTCAACTCCCAGAATTCCTGAGCCAGCCATGCTGAGGGGAAAGGGAGAGGTTTCTATGCTGAGCCATGCCGGCTTAGGAATTCTGGGAGTTGAAGTCCACCAGTCATAAAGGGAGCCATAGTTCCCCCATGCTGGCTGAGGAATTCTGGGAGTTGAAGTCCACGAGTCATAAAAGAGCCACGGATGCCTACCCCTGTCATAGACTAATGAGGAAAAGTTATCACAGTTACTTAAGACTCCAGGCCTGTTATTAATGTCCTTTAAAAGGGGACTGACCTTACAACAGGCGTCCACGGTAACGGTCAAAAAAGTCAAAATGGCAGCCTCAACTATGCAATGACCCCTCCATTGGTTAGTGGTCTGTCCTTGCATAACCACAGACGCCATTTTGACTTTTTTGACCCCCTCCTGCATGGACATTCCTAACCACCTCTTTTTCTAAAGGTGTGCAGGGGGGTACATCTGACATCCGAGAATGTGTGCGTCCAAAGAGCGGGCCTCAGTGTCCCCCATCTCTTCTGGACAGCCCTGAAAATGGCAAACAACAAAGTTGAATAGGTAGACCATGTTTGTGTAAACGTTTAACCACATTTAGCAACACGCCTAGCGAGTCATAGCCACCACAACGTTTCATGTCGTAGAATAAATGTCCAGGTTTACCCAAGG